AATTTTTAGAAATAATACATTTCTTTAACTATTTTTCAGAAATATTACGCCGATTTTTTTTAAATAATACATAGTCGGCCATCTAGATCTAGTCAGCCAAGAGTAGGCCGATTAGTACCCTCTCGGCTAATGACAGGCCGATTAGGCTCCTGCGGATGGTTATGGTGGCAGGGGCACGGTCTGACTAACGGCTTAGAAAGCGTGACAACAAGTTTACAAACCGACTGGTTTCGAGTCTTTACTTTGTGTTTGGGATTGACTATCCCTTTTACACCCACGAACGATGCCCTGTTCTTCGTCCCAGACATGTCCTTATACGAAAGAATGTCGAATCAATATAGGTGCAGAAAGGTCGGAATAAGTTCCATTTCGTATGGTTATTCTCCAGATTTGTCCCAATGTGATACTCATTGTTTGCATCAAATTGTATGTAGGACGAATGCAAGTTTTGGTATTGGGAAGAAGAGTACTTGTCTATTGATAGAGATTAATTTGCTTGATGTTGGTGCACTAGTTGCAATAGCTGAGACTAGAGAGTATGCAATGTCCATGTTTGAAGAGGAAGAGAGGAAAGAAGTGTGCAAGGTCGAGAAGCCAATAGAGAAAAGCATTGATCAGATTAATAGGAACAATTAAGTAAGTGGAGTTTCTGTTGAAATGTGCAATTTTCTTGTAGTTTTCCATGAATCGGTTCTCTTCGGGAAGAATTGGTGAAGTATATATGTGACCAAGTGAGTAGTGAAGTTTAACTCGATGACCCAAAAATAAACGAGTTTGTGTTTTTATTACTCAGTTAAGTCTAGGGAATTGATTAGAAGCGGCACTTTTTTAGAGGAGCAAATACTCGGCCATTTACTCCTCTACATTATAGATGATCCGTTACACATGCTCTTAAGAATAAGAGCCAACGATATGGATCATTATTAAGACTCTCAGGTCGTCATGCGTACGCATGCAAATTTGATCTACTCCAGTGCAAGGCCTTCGTAGTATTAAGTGTGACGTATATTAGTAGCAATTCTTAAGCATTAGCATCTCAAGTGTTACGCAGACATCAAAGTAATCACAAATGTCAACCATACGTGGCAGAAAATACAATTTTATTCTGCTAAGCAACTATTAATGCACTTCAAGAGGGTGCTTGCTATGGAGGCTGCCCCTTCCAGTTACTTCCTCTATAAACAATAATAAGATGTTTTTTTTATGATTTAGATGTATATACACGCATTTTAGTGTGTTTGTTCATTCATTTCTGTCCGCATGTGGTCAATATTGAACAATTCAAAACATCTCATATTTGCGAATGGAAGCGGTATTTCATAAGTTTTTCTTAATTAAATATTCCCTCCATCCAGAAATGCTTGTCCTAGAAATGGTTAAAATGGATGTATCTATAACTAAAATAAGTCTAAATACAACCATTTTCGGGACAAGTATTTCCGGATGGATGGAGTGCCTTGTAAATAGTTTTCATATACAGTTGAAAACTGATGCCGAGGTATAAATTCAATTTCATGATCTCTTTTTCTGCCTCAAACTGCTTATTTTTCTGAAGCTGGGTATTCATAGAGGGGATGCTTGGACGGTGAATCATAACAAATATGGCTATATTATGGTTATAGGCAAACATTGGTAATAATGGTGTACAATTTGAACCAGACAGCAATGTAAAATCAACATATGTTGTTTGTTGTGATCTTCCTATACTTAAATCAAAAGATGTGGAACCAAACTTTTAACAAATTATTCATGGTGCCAACTGTAATCTACTAATTAAGAAGATGTATCGAAACATACCAGGTACATGCCAAGCCAATAACTCTCCTAATTGGAGCTAGCTCCTATATTGTAGTTCTTTTCTTTAGAAACGAGGCTATATATAGTCCACACACATATATTCACAATTCAACTGAGGTAGAAACAAAAAGAGAAAGGACATATCAAGGCTAGCGTATAGCCATTCAATCTACTGCTTGTGCAAGATTGTTTAACTATATGTACACATCAATCATATATTTAGGAAAGGGAGGTACCGGAAAATAAGGGGAAATCATATGATTATAGTCCAGAATGATGAGGTATTGTCCTTTTCTCCGATCGGGAGCTACCTTCTCAGTTTGTTGTGTCAGAGATGGAGGCCGAAATACAGTGTAGACATGCACACGGTGTTCCAGTCGCACGTGACAACAAGACAATGGGAGCCAGCCCGAGCCATGATGGTTTCAAATCTTCGGGTCGACCACCTCTTTTGCAGCAGGAAGCTTGCTTTCATTCCGTGCGATTCTTCCATGTTTCCGAGGCGTGCCCTTCTGCACAAGCATGCCAGACCAACATTTACAGAAAACTATTTTTTATTATTATTGTTGTGCTCATGTGCGATTTTGTTGTTTCAAAATATATGTTCCTTTTAGCTTTTTTTCAAAATATACGTTGGCTAGAGAAGTACATAATCATATACCACATTTTATCTGTACAACATTTTTTGGGGGGCCTTTTTTTGTACAAAATTCTGAAGCCCTAGTACATATATTTTTTTGCAACAACATTAGAGCATCTCCAACAGGTGCACAAAAATTACACGCCTTAAAATAGTTTTAGTGCGCCACTGTAGCACTTTTAGTGCGCCGGATCCAACATTGCTTTAGCAGATGCCGAAAAATGCGCGTCCAAAAGAAGACGCAGTGAAAATTGTGAAGCGCGCGCAATACGGCGCCTCAAATTTACAGCTTTTGATAGCGTTTTTTGGCGTGCACCCAACCCTTTTTTGTCCGCGCATTATTTTACAGCTTCTGCTGGAGCTGTCCGGCGTCCAAAAAACCTGAAATTTAGCGCGCGGTCCAGTTTTTGGGCGCCTGTTGGAGATGCTCTTAGGCCATATAAGAAAAGGACCAGCCCTGGAGTGCGCCCTTTGTGCAGGGCGCACACATCTGCATCGACTGCGACGGCTGTACCTCCTGTAGCGCTCCCGTTGTAGCTTTTTTCGCTGGTTTATGTAGTTTTTCATCCTGTTGAAAACTTGAAATGGTTTTCTGATAGCAGTTTATTACTCCTTTTCATTTTACAGAATTTTGTTGCAGATTTTTTATTTACAATCAAAACAGTATCAAATATAATTGTTCGTACATCTTCAAAACAAAATAAACAGTGTGAGTAGAAGACTTTTGGCATAGTACCAGCTACACGCTGCTTTTCGTTTTCTGTTTTTCTTTTTTTTTGTATATTTTTTATACATGTACATTTTTCTTCAATTTCACGGACATTTCTAAAACTTAATGGATTTGAAAAACAGCAAACAAATGCTTTGCAATAATATGTTATTTTAACCTGTCAAAAATGGATTACTCATTTTTTAAGGTAGTAGTTGCCTTTTTTAAACCGGTTTTTCTTCGCATCGAGCGGTGCCGAATTTTTGTCGAGCAGAATTTGGAACTTTTATGCAGCTTGGCCGACTAGTCATTTTAACATGGGTGGTTTGTGCAGTTTAGTCCTCAAACTTAGAAAGTGCTCGTTTAAGGTACCTAAACGGGTTTATATGGTCCACCTATACGGTCCTAAATACCACAGCACTCTGTCAAAAATATATTCTGGTGGCGGAAGGAATATGAGTCAAATTTAAGCAGAATCGGAAACTTTTTTGGAACTTGGGGAACCAAACTTTGGAACGAATACATATGTTAGAATAAACCCGAGGCATACCGTTGATCATCCGAGGACCAAGCAATCACACAAGACACGACACCGAGATTTGTTAACGAGGTTCACCGATATGGCTACATCCCCGGGGCCTGACTACGGGCGCTCCTCCCCGTGACACCGTCACAATACCGCACACCGGCCACCCGGGCGCCGGCACACGCCGCCGGCTCCCCCTTGCGCGCCTGTGCTATTATGTTGGCATAGGTTACATCGTGTGTCTATCCCCGCTATATATGAGAGGCCTAGGATACAAGTGTCCTACTAGGACACGACTCCACATCCTATGTAAACACAATACAACTCATAGTCCAACTGTAACCTACCTTGTACACTATATTCGACACAACTCTAACAAACTCCACCTTGGCGAATATACTCCACCACCCTGGATTTGTCCATGCGTCAAACTTCCATGTACATTGGACTTGAGCTTATCCCATGAGCACCGCTGCTACTCCAAAGACTCCATGTGACTGCACCTGCAACTTGTAGTCCCTTTTTTTCTTGACCACGGTCAACACTCGAGCAATCACCGCTCCATTCTTGACAGTCTGTCTGAAATTTGAAAAAATTTCACCATCGCTTGTAGTCATCCCGAGTCAAATTCGCAGTTATCTTATCACATGTATGACCACCAGAGCCCTGGCCAGTCTCCATGCCCCGTGCATACCGCACGCCTCGTCGCTATTACCGCGTCGAGCCTCCGCTGTCCCGGTCGAGTCTCAAGGGTCGCGAAACCACACCACTCAACCCTCACTGTAGAGTACCATCGATCATCACCGACCGATGACGAGTTTCACGCTTCCATCAGACCACTGGGCTCCAGTCTGAACTGCATGTCACTCGCTTTTCCCGCCTGCTGAATAGGCTTCGACCCCGCCGACTTACGTCGTAGCCCCTCAATCCAGCTCCACCTTCAACATGACTCCATGGTAGATGATCAGTCTACCCCTGCGCCTCATCGACTTCAAGCTCCGTGTATACACCACCTTGAATCAATCCCGCGCCATAGTCTTGTCAAAGCCGCACAAGCACTCGGGCATGTGCCACGTGTTTCCACGCCCAGAAGTCGGTCACCGTCAGCATCACGCCCCTATGTCGTTGTTGCCGATTCCACCACCGTCTTCTGTACCAACCGACTTGCGTCGATCCGTCAGATTGCCTAAGTCCGACCCAGCCGAACTATTCCGGCTGTACGACACACTTGAGGCTCCCAAATCATCTTCTGCGAATCTCCATCCATCACTTGATAATTCCATCTTAGCTAACATGACTTCCCGCAACGCCATCAAGCATCCCCGTTGTGCCAACAAATCTTTCATCCGTGTCTGCCATAACCCAAGGTTTTCCGTTCCATGAACTTCTCCACCTCAAACCTGGTACCTGTTGGCGCCACAGTTCTTTATACGGCTGACCCGCGAAAAATTATCCGAGCTTTCCTCACGTGATGCCCAAGTACACAAGCAAAACCTGACGTGGTACACCCTCGTGCACTAATAGCAAATTCCAACCAAAGAACACTTTTGATCTTCACGTGTAGTAGCTCTAGCTCAACTCCCGATGCTGTTGTTGCTTTGCCACGATGCTCTCCAATGGACTGTCATATCATGTTGGACTTTTTTCGCTAGATGTGATCTGCCTCTCGCCGTGCCCACTTGAGGACTCGGTCCTCTTTTTTTTTTCACAAAACAAATCTCCTGTCTCCTGTCTGTGGCTTCAGCGTTGTACGCGTTCCTGCCTCTACCTTGAGTCCATCGCACCTCCGCGGATGCGCTAGCGCCCGAGCAGCCTCCAGTGCATAGGCCAGCATTGCCGGCCCTCCACGCTCCAAGCCTGGCTTGGCCAGCTGCGTACCTCGCGCCGCTCACAAAAACCGAGCCGAACTCCTGCCATGCAGTATGCGTTACGCCTCCAGAAGAACAGATCGAGTCTCCCGATCCGAGTCCGACCGCAACTCGCATGCGCTGTCAGACGCTCGCCCGATCGATTAGCCAATCGATTGCCGCACGTCCTGCCTACCGCCCGAGAACCACACTGTAGCCGGCTGCATCTCAACTCAATTCTTCCTCCAAATCAACAATCCACAGCCTCCGGACAACCTAGCTCTGATACCACTTGTTAGAATAAACCCGAGGCATACCGTTGATCATCCGAGGACCAAGCAATCACACGAGGCACGACACCGAGATTTGTTAACGAGGTTCACCGATATGGCTACATCCCCGGGGCCTGACTACGGGCGCTCCTCCCCGTGACACCGTCACAATACCGCACACCGGCCACCCGGGCGCCGGCACACGCCGCCGGCTCCCCCTTGCGCGCCTGTGCTATTATGTTGGCATAGGTTACATCGTGTGTCTACCCCCGCTATATATGAGAGGCCTAGGATACAAGTGTCCTACTAGGACACGACTCCACATCCTATGTAAACACAATACAACTCATAGTCCAACTGTAACCTACCTTGTACACTATATTCGACACAACTCTAACAACATATGCATGAAATGCAATGTGGAAACAGCTAGAATACCACTGCGGCCATCCAAAATAATATCAAGATACAAGTTTGACAGCAGCACCATGTGTTGATCGTCACTTTGTCGCCACTAATGGTGGGATGCTCTGCTCGTTCCTAAAGTAGTCGCTAGGATCCACCTTGCCCTTGGCCATGGCGAGCCTCTTGAAGTTGCCCTTGTAGTACTTGTCGCCCCAAACCTTAGCGGCCGTGTAGCTGGTGACGTTGCCCACAACGACGTTCATGCCGAGGTCGAGGTCCCTGTAGTTCACGTACGCCTCCCTGGGGTTCTTGCTCACGTAGGGCGCCATGAAGGCATAGAAGTCCTTAAGCCACCTGGTCTGCGCTGACCCGTCGGTGGCGGCCGACCAGAAGTTCATGTACTGAATGTTGTAGAGCACGCCTGCACGGTGCGGGAACGGGGTCGCCGACTCCGGGAGGCTGCCGATCTGGCCGCCGTAAGGGTCCATGATCATGAGCCCGGCGTCGGGTTTGGCGAGCCAGGCGAAGATCTTGATCCACACGTCCCTGGCGATGGCACGGTGGACGAAGTCGGACTTGGCCTTGTTGAAGGTGTCCAAGGAGGTGGTCCGGTTGAGGATGTCCTCCACGGTGGCGGTGCTGTCCAGGTAGATGTATGGCACGGACTGGATCCACGTCATCTCCCTGCAGTGCGTCCGGTTCAGGCGGAGCTCCGGGAAGTGGCTGCGCATCAATGGCAGCAGCGCGTCGCAGGTGCCCAGGTACATGGACTGGAACTCGGCCACCTGCTTCGAGACGACCACCCTTATGAAGAGGTCTTCCGGGAGAGCCGGCGCGATATCTTGCCATCTGGTGAGGATGTCGATGGCGCCCTCGTCGACGGACCTTGGGACGCGGAACATTGTCAGCTTGGGTGGGACGGCCAAGAGCTTCACCTTCCAGGACAGCACGATGCCGAAGCTCTCCCCGCCGCCACCGCGGAGGGCCCAGAAGACGTCCCTCCCCATGGCCTTCTTGTCCATGATCTTCCCGTTGGCGTCGACCAGCGTGGCGTCCAGCACGTGGTCGGCGGCGACGCCGTACTTGCGCAGCAGCAGGCCGAACCCGCCGCCGCTGAGATGGCCGCCCAGGCCGATCGTCGGGCACAGGCCGGCCGGGAAGGCCAGCCTGTCGCTCACCTTGGAGATGGCGTAGTAGAGCTCCCCGACCGTGGCGCCGGACTCCACCGTCGCGGTGGCCGCCTTCCCGTTGACGCGCACAGAGCGGAGGTTGGCCAGGTCGACCACAGCGAACACCTCGGGCCGCTCGGACCGGTACGAGAGGCCCTCGTAGTCGTGCCCGCCGCTGCGAACGCGGATGCGCACGTCATGCCGGCGGCCGCAGACGACGGCGGCCTGCACGTGGGACGCGTTCGTCGGGGTGACGATGCAGAGCGGGCGCACCGTGCTCGGCGTGAACAGCCTGGGGTTCCGGATGGAGGACACAAGGACTGGCGTGAACGATGGCGAGCTCTGGGTGTGCAGCAGCGGCTTGGGTATGGCTGCGGAGAGGCATTGGAGGAAGCCGTCGGAGGAAGCTAGGGAAGGGACAAGGGATGCGTAGCAAGAGAGGAGGCCGAAGAGGAGCGCAAGGGCTAAGCTCCGAGACGAGGCCATTATTTTTCTTGTTTGTTTTTCCTTCTTGGATGGAGTGCTCACCTTGCAGGGTATCGAGCTCTACATATAGCCCTAGATCGCTCTCCACTGGCAGCTCGATCTGTACAATAAATGTCGTGGTCAACTCTTAAGATGGTGGCCGACGTGCGTGCGGTGAGTAATTGATCTAGGGCACATCAAACAAGAACCGATCCCACAGGCCGGTCGAGCAGAAGTACAGTCGTCAGATCTGTCATGGGCTTCGCCGGCCATGTCAAGCACTTCAACATTTATACCGAGCAGGAATGGCCAGTCGCTAGAAGTAGAACGCGCCTGGCGGAGATGGTTAGCAGCATGCGATCATGTCGCCCAAAGTGAAATAGTGCGCGAACTCCTTGAATTTGGCCCACATATACGATTAGGTACAAATGGCCTCCTGCAGCCTAGGACAAGGAAGATGTGTCATTGCAGCCACCGTCGGGAAATAGGAACTAGCTAGGAGACCCACTGTCAGCGCAGACCAGGGATAGAGAATCGTCGACCGGTCGTTATGCTATCCCCGCAGCTGCAATGGTCCAGCTGCGAGGGCTCCTGCACCGCAAGGAGGCGAGCCTCCGTGACCGTCAGGCAGGCTTCGGCCGATGGATTCCTCCGGCTACAGTGAGGCGATCAAGAAGGGGACGAGGTAAGGTGGTGGCAAAGGTTTTGCCAGTTGCCTGGGTCATTCCTTTCTTTGAGAGGGGAGTCCGAGGTCTGTTGAGAGAGAGACTTCCAACTAAATCGGTTTCCATCACATATTTAACTAAAAATATTTAAGTATATCTCCTAAATATTGGAGAAGTGTATGGATGAACCCTGGTACATATGAACCCACTTTAAACAACACATTTTAAAATGTCAAAAAATTCTGAAAAAAGATGCGCGCAGATATCTTCATATTCTATGTGAGTGAAGAAAGTTTCACAGAAAAATAACTTTTTTTGTAGACTGTGCAAAAATTACAAAATTTTGTGTCATGGAACGCTATTTAGAAGCTGTAAAATTTGTCTTTTTTACTGGGACAAAACAAAAATACTTTTTTACACAAAACTTTGTGCCGCGGACATACCTTTGCCAACATGTATGCATAATTTATTTTTAGAATTTTTGAACATTACAAAAGGCGTAAAAAATACATTTTTGAAAAGCGGGTGCAGATGCCCCCGGTGTGCAGATCGTCCACTCTCCTAACAAGTGTACCTTTTCATATGCATTCACCAATATACATACTGACCTTAACTAAGGACGAAATGACCAACTGTGCTGACTTTTTCGAATCACGAGTAAAACCATGTGACCTCTTGTCACTGCACCAACTAGTCGATTACTCGCAGGTCTTGCATCGGTCCAAATATATTTAAGTCAGTGTTCAGTCGAGCTAGTAATGGCGAACGAGAAGCGCTGTAACAGTACGTGGGCTGCTATGGTTTTGGAGCTAAGATTCCTTTTGACTTTTTGTGTGTTTGGGCTGCTAAGCGGAATATAAAAAAGCTAGATTAGAGAATAATCAATCGCGCATTGAAGCTACAGGAGCGGCTGCTCAAGACTGCTCTACGTTTTTTTTTTTGAGAATCTCACAAAGCTTTATTACTGAATCATAATGTTCATAGGTACAAAAAGAAGATCGCCGGGTTGTCCTAGCCAAGTGTGTCGGCCAAACCCTAAAGATGACGCATGCTTTGCGAGATTATGGGCCTCCGTATTGGAGGTCCTATACTCATGAGTAAACGAACATGAAATAAAGGTAGTTGCTCTAGCCTTGATTTCCTCGACAATGGCTCCAAATTCCGCTGAGCTTCCCTGTCTGATTGCATCTACCACCACCTTGCAATCGGAGGCAACAAGTAAATGGTTGATATAGAGATCTTCTGAAAGTGCTAATGCCTCCCGAACAGCTAGTGCTTCTAGCACCTGGGGGTTGTGCAGTCCTCTGAAAACGAGAGCTGACGCTCCCATGAACAAACCTCTCTCATCCCTGCAAACCACACCAACTGCGCCAAACGTACCTGAGCGTGACACGGCCGCGTCCACATTGAGTTTGTAGTAATCTGTTGGTGGTGGAATCCACGTACGGGGTCGTGGTAACTGCTATCCCATGTGCTTCCTCCTCCTTCTTCAAAAACTCTATGTCTGATAAGTAAGCTTTGATGAAGTTGTCAGTGGCAAACGGAGTCTGGTATATATCCTCATGTATAGCTTTCCGTCTTGCACTCCAAATCGCCCATAAAGTAACAATCATCAACTGAAATTGCTCCGGTGGAAGAGAGTCATTCATGGCAAAGAGCCACAGCCGTGCGTCAGGTTCTGAGGTTGCCCACATGTGCTCGACCATCTCGGCTTCTGAAAGTGCCCACACACACCTAGACACATTACACTCCAGCAAAGAATGCCGCCAGCTATCCTGACCTCCGCATAGGGAGCAAGCACTCGTAGTGGCCATATGATGATGGTTTAGGACATCTCCCGTAGGGAGTGAGTGTTGCGCCAATCGCCAAGTGAAAAAGCGCAGTTTCGGTGGTACTGACATGTTCCATAGCGAGTTCCACCCCCTCATCTCATGTTCAGAGTTGGAAGGATCCTCCCTTTCCTCCAGCCATGCCTCGCGCCCAATCTTGATCTTGACAATCATCTTATAAGCTGACCGTACAGAAAAACGCCCCCTTGGATCATCATTCCACGCCCAGAAATCGTCCACAAGCCGTGTACAGAGCGGTATTTGCAAGATCGCCTCCACATCAATGGGTATGAACACCTGTCTAAGCAAGTCCTCTCGCCACGCAGCTCTAGTGTGGTCGATCAGATCAGAAACCAGTTGCGGTGGGTCAGCAACTAAGGAGGCCACCGGCTTCATCATTCCGTCCCTTGGGATCCAACTATGTTGCCATATGTTCGTGGTAGTTCCATCACCAATACGCCGGATAGCTCCTTGGGTGATAATATCTCTCCCATCAAGTATAGATCGCCACACCTGAGAAGGATGTGGACCTAGTTGAGCTTCAAGGACTGTACATTGTGGAAAATATGATGCTTTAAGGATTTGTGCACTAAGAGAGGAGGGATCATTCAATAATCTCCAAATTTGCCGAGACAAAAGTGCCAAGTTGAAGATTTCTATATCCCGAAAGCCAAGTCCTCCCAAACTTTTCGGTCGGGTTATCAAATCCCAAGCTACCCAACATGGTTTCCTCTTGCCTCTCTTGCTCCCCCACCAAAATTGACGAATGAGTGACGTAATGCTTTCACAAAGGCCTCGAGGTAATCTAAAGCAAGACATCGAAAACACTAGTAAAGCTTGAGCCACAGATTTTATGAGAACCTCCTTTCCTGCCACTGATAAAAGTTTCTCCATCCATCCCTTTATCCTTTCCCAAACTCTGTCTCGTAAATATTTGAAGGTGCCATTTTTGGACTGTCCAACATCGGTCGGCAGACCCAAATACTTTTCACTCAAAGACTCATTCTGCACATTAAGTATATTCTTTATCTCCACCCTAAGGGTCTCCGGGCATCCCTTAGTGAAAAATATGGACGATTTATCATAGTTTACCCTTTGGCCCGAAGCCAAGCAGTATGCATCAAGTAGGTTTGAAACCTCATTTGCCCCCTGGACGTATTAGAGCATCTCTAGTAGACCCCATAAACGGGCCGGACCCGTATAATTGCAGCGAGTATATGAGTTCGGCCCATTTTTCTGACCAAAATAGACACCGTATCCGTGGCCCGGCCCATAAAAAAATTTACAGCGGCCCGCAAAACTCTCTCCCCGCCGCTATATGACCGCTCGGATAGGGGTCAAACCCTATCCGCCTCCACCGCCATGACGCCCCGATTCCCCTCCTCCGCCGCGATTCCCCTCCTCCTCCGCCACGAGTCCCCTCCTCCTCCGCCCAATTTCTCGCTGCCGGTGAGCCTGAAAAAGCCATGGATGGCTACGGGAGCTCTGGGGATGACGCGGAGCACCCCCGCACGCAAGCGGGGCGTGCGGAGGTGGCTCAACCGCGGTTGCCGGCCGCCACTGGCGTTCGAACGCCACGAGCTGGTTGAGTTCGAGCGTGAGCTCGCTCGCCGCCGCCACGCCACCTCTGGCTCCTCTGCCACGTGGAGCTCGTCCGCGGGCGCCTCGAGCTCGCGGCTGACTCTGGTGAAGAGATAGCAGGAGGAGCTCTGGCCGCTCGCCGTCAAGCTCGAGCCCGACACGCCGTCGCGTCGAGGAGTGATCGACCCCGAGGACTACCTATCCCCAGGGGCAGGAGGAGCACCTAGAGCGCGTCATCATGGAGCGGTCAGCGAGGGAGCAGGAGGAGGCCGAAGCGAGCCACCGCCACGAGCTCGAGTACGAGCAGATGTTCCTCCAGACGGGCGTCACAACGTCGCAGGCGCATGCGTCCAACGAGGCGGATCTGCGCTTCATGAAGGCGGAGCAGGCCAAGTTCATCATCGACCTCGACTCCTCCGACAAGGACTGAGCTCCTCCGGCTCCTCCGCCGTGTCGCCGCCGCTACAAGCTCGTTGATTTTTGGTAGCTAGGCTCGGGCCGGCAGATTTTCCCACTAGTATGATCAATTAATGTAGGTGAACTAATGTATGATCAATGTCGTTGCAAGTTTGTCCCGTGAATGCTTTTTTTTAAACTTCACAGTTTCATATACGGGGTCTGATCTGCAACGCACGAAATCGACCCGCAAATCTCATCTGCAACTAACTGTAAACGCAGTTTGCGGGTCGGCATTATATGGGGTTTGCGAGAGATGCTCTTAGCTCATAGACTAGCGGTCATCAGAAAACACCTTTAGAAGGAAAAACAAAGTCAAGCAAGTTGTTGCATGCTAATCAATGCAGCAAAGAAAAGCTAAATGGTTTATTACGTATGTGCCCTTGGTTCCTTAGCTCTACTCATTCATCCCCGCGTTCTTAACTTTTGCTCAATTTTCCCCACTCCCTTGCCAGAAACCCTCGGAACTGGTCACAACGGACGTTGTCTC